CTATATTGCACTTGGTCATATCGCAATTTGCGATAATATTTCCATTAATTGTTCAGCCCTATTCTGTAATAAAATGTACATTATAAACAACATAATTCTGTACATCATACTCATATTTTATCACGTTAAAATAGCTTACATGTATGTGACTCTGTCATCGATTGCAGAGATTTTTTAAATTTAAGAAAACATATAAAAGGTTCATTTACAGAGTGAAGAATTAGATAAATTAAGATAGGTTATTAATCTAAATGCTTCTTGTTAACAAACAGAAGCTTCCTGAAATTTAACGTCAGGGTTTCAGAGGCTAAAATTACAATGAAACACTTCGCTGAACAACACGGAGGGAGCAGAGGTGTCAGCACCGACACTTTACCACAAGAACCGGAGCGTGTTAAATGAATGAGCTGGTTATAAGCTGGTGAAATCAATACAACGACATGTACATTAACGTTGCGATAAATATGAGAACAAACTGTGATAAACGAGAAGCTAGCTCAGGGAAACTCTCTGAAGTTTAAACGTTTCCGAGGAAATTATCAGTTAAATTTAACTTCAACAGACTTAAACACGACAAAGTGTTTGTTAGAAAAATGTCCGTGAACCTACTTCAGATTCCGGGTTGAACGGTGTCAATTTGCGGCCATTTTCTTGTTTTCTTGGTTTTTTTTGATGGTTTTGTTCCGCTTGTTTGTGTTTACTTCGGACTAACGCCGTCGACTTTTTAAATTTCCCTCTTTCAAAACAAAAGAGCCTCATTTCCGCTTCCGCTGCTTCTTCTTCGTCGCACTTTTAACTCCGCTAGGCCTCTGGTTTCGCCGCTGCCGCGCCCCCTGATGGAGACAATTCGTATTACACCTCGCACCGGACCAGACTCGCTTCACTTTTTCTTATGTTTATCTTTAATTTAAACATAAAAGAAACATTCAGATCGTTCACTGAAATAAAAATACCAACATAACAAAGTAAAAGTCTTAAATTATTAATTGTTATATGTATATAAGTATCAATACAAAACTATTAACAGGTAAATATACTTAAAGTAAAAGTACTTTCACTGACCCTTGTGAGTA